ATATCTTTAAGGAGGTACTTAGGTAGATACACAGATCGACAGATAAACAAATGTACAGATAGGTAAGTAGGTAGATAGGTAGGTAGGTAGGTAGGTAGGTAGGTAGGTAGGTAGGTAGGTAGAGAGATAGAGAGATAGAGAGAGCGAGACAGAACAAAAAGAGACAAATGGATAGATACATAGATAGCTAGGTATTAATATATAGATGATATGCTTGCATGCAACCGTGGACATGCATCTCGCAACCCCGATACCCATGTACGTATGTGCGTATGTATGTCTATAAGCATGTAAGCATGCAGGCATCTATGCATGTATGTATCATCTGTATGATATGTATGGTATGCATGCACGTCTGTATGTGTGTATGTATGTGAAGAGTTTTGTACATTGTGTGCAAACACATCTACTATGTCGTATGTAACATACTAACTCAAGGAGGGCACTTGAGATGCTCATCGATCTCCATAACAGCTGCCTGATTGCCGCACCTGTTGCGAGCGAAGTATAGAGAATGTCTCAACAAGATCTTTCCAAGCATACCCGGCGCCTGTAACAGTAGTTTGGTGCCGAGAAGATCGTCACCACATGCCTGGCGGGCAAGGACTTCAACAACAGGTGCACTTGAATTCAGATCGAAACGTCATGCCTGTCGTGACACCAGTTGTAGCCCTCCATAACCAACTGGTGCGCCCGTGCAATCAGCTTGAGGCCATTGGCGTGGTTAAACCTGCTTCTGCCACAGCAAAGGAGCTGCAAGTTAACATCACGACTGCAATATGTCAGGTCAGAAGTGGCGAAGCAGAAGTGCGAAGCTGATTGCTAGCCCAGCAACTGCTCTGAAATGTCCTGTCCAAAAGTGTAGCCAGCACCTTGATCAGGACACAAGGAAATCACGAAGGGAAGCTAAACATGAGCCAGAAACGCAGCTGCAACACCGTTGCGTTCGAGGAACCACGCGGCGAGATGCCCCAGCCACATCGATCATCAGGGTCTGACCACAACAGGTCACACCTCACAGCGCAAAATCTAGCCTGGCGTGTGTCACTGTGCGTGGAAGCATGACGAGTCACAAACGGCAACGAAACCAGCGACAACACCGAGCCCATCAATTTGGCTAAGTGACATAGGTCCCTCGTGAGGCACCTGCAGTCAAGTTCGCGAGACTGCCGGAATTCGGGCTGTTGTTAAGAATCTACACTAGTAGTTACGAGTTGAACCACGCAAGCACTTCATCTATACACCGGGCTTGGGTGTCACAGAGAGCAGCGGGCGGCCTCTTGGATGCGGTCCAGCTGGCGGATGTTATCCAAGGAGTCGAGCGAAGGCGAAATGCCCCCATGCATGCCTGCGTCGCTGCGTGTGGTCCGGTGTTTCAACTTCCGCCAAATGCCAAGTCAGCTGTTCAAACCGCGCTGCATATGATCTGGTTTTCGATCACGGCTGTCACCTTGGCACTACGTCATGCAGGTGCCGCACTGGTGCCGGTGATGCTTTGAAGGTAAATCTCTCCTCCCTCGCTACATCTCGCGACCGCAGGCAGGGATTTGGGGTTAGGCTGTGGATTGCAGCCTGTCGGCTGAAGGCTTCGGGCTTGAAAGGTCTGGGCAGCATGGGGGAGGGTGGGTTGACGCCGACGTCATAGCTGAAGGTCTGATCTCGCAACAGCATCCTCCAGAATTCTGACAGGAAGCTGGCAAGTAGTCGAAGGAGTCGGTGAATAGCTTCCAGACCTGTGGTGACATACCACTGGTGGATCGTTGCTCTGATGACAATGGAGCACCAATGGCAAGATTTTGCCCCATCTCAGTCTCAGAAGGCCTGCGGACCACGGTATGCTCGAACGCACTCATCGAAGAAGCCGTACACCTGTGTAATTTGGCCTCGGGCAGAGTCTCTCGTCGTGATCCCGAGCTGCCAAGTTGCTGCGAACAGACAGTCATCGTGCGTCCAAGTCGCGACTCTCATGGTTGCCGCGGAGAATAGTTATGCGCTCCTCAGGCGGGTGATGCATGAGCAGCGTGGCGGGTGTCTTAATCTCCCGGCAGTGACAACCAGCTTCCAGGAGTCCTTGAAACGCACTTTGTACAGAAACATGAGCGACACGGTCTTCACGGAGTAATAGCCGCGGTCTACGTAGTCACCCAGGAAAAGGTAGTTGGTCCTGAGCAAGAAATTCCGGAGACTGAGCAGGTCCAATAAGATCAAGAAGTATCTGCCCAGGAGCTCTGGAAGCGGGCCGCCAATCCGGAAGAGCTCCTGGCAAGTATCAGGGGCAGTGGCGCAAGCTTAGCCTTTTTGTGGGAGTCCTTCAAGTCTAGGAACTGGCCATGAATGTCTCCGCAGACGGTCACCTGTCGGCTGCGGCGCATGGAGTCTGAATGAGCCTTCGTGAAGTATCTGCCGAGTCGCCGGACAGCGCACAGGCTGGCAGTTCGACTCCTCTTGAAGAATTTCCCTCACTTTCTCCTGGACAAAACACCACTTCATAAGTCCAAGACCACATCTCGCATGCACTTGGCCATGCACAACCGCGGCAGCGTCATAGGTTAATCCCGACCAAGAGACGCATAAGGATCTGCACTGTGCTTCCGACAGTTCACCCTTCTCCCTGCAAGACAGCTCTCACTGCACTTTGGCTGATGACATGATTCACCTCTCCCTCAAAGACGCGGATCGGCCTCACATGCTCGATCTGCCCTTCCAAATCTGTGTTCGTAGCATATTCATCGGCTGCTGGCATACCCTGGGCAAGCAGCGCACCACCTACTTCACAAACGAAAACTGTGTAGCAGAGCCCTGCCTGCACAATGGTCTGCCTCTCAGCCACTACGCGAGTTGGGCATGTGAGGACAAGATGCTAAGACTTGAGCCAAGACATGTCAAGACGTGTCCCATGGCGAAACCGGGTACTGCAACGCGGGCTGCGGCGGGGGCCTGAATAGTAGGATGTCGTGTTACCCTATCTTATGCTACGTTTGATCAGACCGTAAGACTGTCGCCAGTACCACCATCGGCTCACAGCGATTTCAGTATCACCCGAGGGCAAGCTTCATCAATGCCGTTAAAGGCTTTGGCGGAATCTTCAACGGCACAAAACACAAAAACTCTTGCTGGCACAAGCAGTGGAAGTTTCTGCTGCAAACTGCTGGGATCTTGGCCCGGTAAACGCCTCCCAGTATGCCCAGAGGTTGCATCAACTGTGCCTCGAGAAGGGAGGAGGCATCAAACACGATCCTTGCTTTTCATTCCCAACAGGCTGTGGCACTGACCAGAATTCCATGAATTGCCACAACATCTCCAACCTGTCCAGGACGCACACGGCTTAAGTGCCCTGTTGCCTATTGAAGAGAAAGCCTGCTTCTTGCACTGCGTCACTAGTCTGCATTAAAGAAAACGCGTCGGCACCGCGGGAAGGTCTCCGTTCAGTACCCGCAATGACGTCAGCGCCAGTATGGAAGTGAAACTTCCGACAACAATCACCGACTGGCCAAAGTTCAGCCTCGCGCGCTAGACGGTATCGCATTTCCAGGTCTCGGGATCACAAGCAGTCAAGGGGATCCGACTTGGCCAAGGAGTGCAAGACGGCCACCTGCTTCCAAAACAGTTGAAAAAACATCTCGTCAACTGCCAGGCTGGCCTGCTCTGCTTCAAATCTGGCCAGAGCATCGTCGTACCTCCTGCTTTCTTGTGCCTGGCTTGCGTGCGATGCTGGTGAATGGCAGTGTTTTTTGGGGGGTTCCTGAGGCCTGCTCAGGCCTCAGGGCCTGGCCTCACCACGGAAGTACTTCACCACCTCGCAGTTCGCCAAGGAGTCGAAGAAAACCTTGCGCAGCAAACCCACACCCTGTCGCCGAAACGCTGTGGAGATAAGTCCCGCGCCGCACTTGCATCCTCTTCTGCTCGATTAGATCTTCGCATGATCTCCCGCCTGACTTCACAGGTCACAGGTCAGTGCTGCGGCAGTCGTTACAGCAGACTGCGGCATTGCTCTAAGACTATCCGTTTGCCTGTGATTGGAGAACTTGGTGGTGAAAGCCTCGGCTGTGGCAGATCCAAAATTCTCATGGCAGGTTCTCGCTTGTGCGCGAAGTCCCAGTCACCTATACCAAGGAGCTTGCCACGTACAAAGCGATGGTGGAAGATGCTGCTAGGGCACAGCCGGGTCCTGCGTCTGTATGCTCTCTTGTGCTGGTACGCTCAGACACGGCAACTGCCTGCGAGCGACGCCATGACCGTCAACGCCATGGCACACTCGACCGCTATGGGCATGACATTGAAAAGGAGCATGTTCAGCACCTGGCACACACGTATCCGGGCATAGTCTCAAAAGCGGTCCTGCAGCCTCCAAAGATTCGCCCCCCCCCCCCCACAAAGCTGGGGTCAGAGTAGCTGCAAGCAGTTTGCTGAGTCACTGCCTGTGTGAGCGACTTTGTGGCACGGTTCACCACAACCTGTGGAACTTACCAGACAGCAGACAGGCAGCATGCAGTACCATGCTTCATGAGCTGATGCTGGGTGTTTAAGGACATCAACAAGCAAGTAACTGTGAGACCAATCACCTCTCGTGATCTCTCGTGAAAACTTCGGATCTCCCGACCTTCTATGCTTTGTCGTTGCTGACATGCCAAAAATCTCAGCCCGGAGCGTTCAGTGCACCAGGCTTGCTGGACAGCAGGAAACTCCTCAGCTCGGCTTGTGAGACCAATTTGCACAGGAACCAAATGCGCATTCAGGCAAATGCTGGCAAGCTGCGTGTCCAAATGATGCAGATGCCTTTGTTGCACGGTCATGACGGCAGTGACATAGCTGCTGCGCCGCGGCAGCAGCGGATTTTGCACACGGCCGTTCAAGAACCTGTCGACAAGGCTGCCAAGGCATAGCCGCCAAGGCGCTCGAAGCTGCGTCTGGCAAGAGCCCTGCAGCTGCTCTGCGAAACTGTCGCGAAGAGCGCTGCACGCAGCTCATTGAAAGCCTAAGCAGCTCTGAATCTACACCAGAAGGGCACTGTCTCGCATGCCTCGCATCACGGAACCAAGTGCACATCTATCCAGTACAGCTTCCTGTGCCTTCCTCGTGTGTGAAGTCCATTTTGCACCATTCAATCAATGGGACACTTGGCAGGGACTGCACCTTTCCTATCGAAACAAGCCTCCTGACATATGCCGTCCAGTCACACTCGTGGAGAGCCGGGCTAAGCCATACGCCTCGGAAGTTGACTGCTCGAAGACTTCTCTCTCCTTTCACCCTCCCTGCTCTTTGCGTCTGTCCGAGTGGCAGCCAGCAGCCCCAACGGCAGGGCTTCGATGCCAGAGCCCAGCGCGTCAACCAAGTGCCCGAGCCTCAGGTCACGGCATCGACAACGAACGGTTCGATCCTGCGCTCATCACACTGAAAACTTGAGAACGTGGCCCCTTTGCTCAGTTCAAGTTTTCAGTCCAATTCCATCCAAACGCTGTCCAGAAGCTGCAGGGGTGCCAAGATGGCCAATGCTTTGCCGACTACCAGCCCCACCACTGCAAAGCCGATGCGGCCCTGCGAGAGGAAACACATGTCAGCACGGCCAAGGACACAAGCGCTCTCGGGTGCACACCAGCACTGCCTGGTGCGAGGCTTCCCGCGGCCAAAGCGATCGGATCAGCAGGAAGACTGATGTATTGCCTCTAGACGGAACTTGTTTAGTGAAGCTCGAACAACACACCTCTGTCGTGGGGGATCAGGGTGATTGGATCAGCCGGGTCCTAAAACTCTTGCTGTCTCCAGTCTATCACGATGGTGTCTGCAAGTGTCGCGGAATTCAGAACACGGTCTCGCAGACTCAACGGAATCCGAGGCATCCGAGAGCCCAGGCCTTCTTTGTCCTTTGCGGCCACCGCGGTCTTGTCCCGCCCCACATCCTGTCGGGACGGACTAGATGCCCGTAAGCCTTGAGGTGGGAGGTGGTCCTGCGAAGACAGCAGCCGCAGCGGCAGGGATATCCCTTGCAGCTGGCAGATGCCGCAAAGTCGCAACGTACAAGTACCATTTTGAGGCGATGAGCGTGGAGGCTGCCCCTGTCCCGTGTTGGGGAGCCGCAGCCGTCCAACAGTCCCTGGCAGAAGCGCAGAGAAGTGTCGAAAGATCAAAGCCAGAACACCCCGGCCCCTCAGTTGAGGCCTAGGCGCGGACGGCACAGCCGCAAAGAATGGCATCGCCACATGCTGCGAGGCACACGTCCTAAAGTTGCTGCTGCTGTATGTCCTCGTCTTAGTCTCGCGAAACATGGTCGCTAAGTACACAGCTTGGGAGACGGGTTTAAGATCTTGCGAGCTGATTCAGAGCCTTTAGCCTGCAAACGGAAGCATTAGTGCCTTTGTAGATGTCCAATCTGCAACGCACAACATCCACAGTGATGCTGGTGCTGCGCCCCCGACAGAAATTCGTTTGTCGATACGCTTTTGCCTATCTCAGCCAGAGTTACGAACCTTCGTAAGTTCGTGACACTCGGCTGCCAGGATACACGGTACATTAAATTTGGCAGCCACCAATAGCACGAAAATGCCGGAGTCATCTTCCGTCTCCCCATCGTGGGCTCGTGGCAAGTTGAGGTAACCTGCATCATGGCCAAGAAGTCTTCGCCTCGTCCGGTTTCCGCTCATCTCACACTCTGAGCTGGCTGGAGTTGGTAAGCGTCCTCCACGGCAAGTTGCTCAACTCTTCAGAACACAAGCATCAGCGACCAATTTCGCAAACTGCCACTGCCACTGCCACTGCCACTGCCACTGCTACTGCTATGCTGCTGCTGCTACTGCTGCTGCTGCTTATTGCTGCTGCTAGTACTGCTTCTGCTGCGGCTACTGCTACTACTGCTGCTACGACTGCGAATGCGACTACGACTACTACTACTAGTACTACTACTACTCCTCCTCCTCCTGCTGCTGCTGCCACCGCTGCTACTGCTACTGCTACTGCTACTGCTACTGCTACTGCTACTGCTCTCTCTCTCTCTCTCTCTCGAAGCGCAAACATCCGAAGACGTCTTTGCGTAGCCCCTTTGGGCGACCTAGGAGGCCGGCTATCTCTGTGGACAGCTAAACCAGGGCAGCGAACTATATGCGCCAAAGCTTTAAGCTGCAGCAACATTCATTAACATTGGTAGCGGAGACTCACCCGGACCGTTAGTCCCTTTGAGCAGTGAGCTCCTGCGACTGTACAACGACGAAGCGGTATGTATACCGGACGTTTCGCAACTACCAGAATCCATCAGGTGGCCCGATAGGCCCTT